CCCCCTGGGTGCAGGTGATCCTGCCGCTATGGCTCGTTAGGCCTGCAGGACATTGGAAACTGCAGAGATGAGCAGCATCAGGCCGGACACGAGCCTCCCAGCTTCCCACGACACACACTTCCTCTGGTTCCTCCCTAGCTCACCTCCCACCTACCTGCCTGGCCCTGTGGGCATGGGAGGTTGCACCCCTGCCCAGGCCTGCTTCCCTCCCAGTCCCTTCTCAGCCACACTTCCTGGCGGGAGCCAAGCAGCAGGCGCTGGAGGTCAGATGGTGCTCCAGATGGTTCATGAACGGACACAAGCCCATTTGGAAGCCAGACTCCGTTATGAAAGCCAGGCTGCCCACCTCATGCCTGTGCTGGATGGAAGGCCTCCCTCCACCCAGCTCCTTTCTAAACAAGTGTTTCTGTCTTGCCAGATGTTTCCATGCGGTAATTTTGCGGAACTAGTCATTGAGAGCTGCCCGTGCTGTCCTTCTCCGATAGCTGTTCCCTGATTAATTCCCATCACGCGCCTGCTCTGCGCCTCTGTAGGCAGAGAGCACATCCACATCAAGGCGGAAGCGGTGCTCTGAGAATCGCGACTTTTGACAGTCGGCAAAGAGCAGCTGCCGTCCTGCAGCAGGGGGTCGAAGCCAGGCCTGTGCGGCACAGGCTGGATGGTCTCACTCCACCTCGCCCTGAAGCCTCCGGGCGCTGCCCAGTGTGAGAGCTTGCCCACCTCCCCTCAGGGCGGCTGGGTGATGTAGATGGGCACCTGTTGGCTCTCAGCTCCCATCTCCCAAGAGCAGATGGAGAATGGCCGGGAGTGACGCCAGTGGTGACCACGTCTCTGCAGGCTGTTTTCAGGACATTGTTAGAGAGCATGCTGCCTCTCTGTGTTTGTTCTCTGTCCTTGTTGAGAACCTACTGTGTGTCAGGTGCCTGCTGGGCCTTGGACAAGATGGCACAAGGGCCCCTGGTGTCTTGGAGGTTAACTTTGAGCAGAGACAATAAATAACGTAAAAAGGCAATAAGACCATTTCAGAGACCGGAAGGAAATAGAGCAGGATGCTGAGATAGAGAGGGCTGGAGGGGAGGGACGGTCTCTGAGGACAGGGAGCCAGCTTTGCAGGGCTCTGGGAAGAGCATTCCGGGCAAGTGCTCCTTCCTGGGGTGGGAATGAGTTGGCCGGATCAGGGAGCAGCAACCAGATCAGTGTGTTGGGAGTGGAGGGAGAGTGACAGGGGTCGGGTCAGAGGGGTCAGCAGGGGCCAGATCGGAAGGCCTTACTGGCCACTGAAGGGGGTGGAGCTTATGTGTAGTACGAAATCATTAGGGGCTTTAAGCAGGGAGCGCCATGACCTGATAAGTTGTTTTAAAAAGAAAGACCGGCTGCTGTGTAGAGCAGGAAGCGTGTGCCTGGGGTGGGTTCGAGGTGATGGAGCGGAGTGGAAGCAGGGGGGCCCGCTGGCAGGTTACGGTAGAACCTCTTGGAGAGATGGTGGCCTGGCGGGGATGCAGCACACTCAGGGAGCAGAGGTCAGGTTTGGAGGGGTGTGGAGGTTAGAGCCATGGGACCCTGGCCCCTGGCCGTGTGAGTGAGTGAGCAGGAGGGGTCAGAGAGGACGCCTGGGCTGTGGGCAACTGACTGAATGGGGCCACCATTTTTAAGATGGGGGAAGACTAGGCTTGGGAAAGTGAGGTGAGGATTCTGTGTGGGGTGTCGTGTTAAGGTTGAGACACCTGTTAGATATC